ACAAATAAATTTTACTTCTCTAAATTTAAAATAAAATAAAAATTAAATGAATACATATTTTTCAATAAAATTTATATTTTTTTTTCTTATATTCCAAAGAATGTTTTTGTAAAATTTCATAACATTTAAATAATTATTTATTGAATTATAATTAAAAATATTAATTGAAAAAAAAGATGGTTTTTTTTGTTTCCGACTGTTTATTTAAGTTTGAAATTAAATATATTATTTTAAAATTTAAAAGTATATTAAATATTAATTAAAATAATCAAAACTTTTGAATTTGTTATTGAAGAAAAATATATTTAAAAAAAAAATAAATTTTAATAAAAATTATTTTAAAAGTTTTTTTAACTAAAGATAAATAAAGTTTTTTCAAATAATATAAATAAAAAAATAGAAACAAATTAATATTCAAATTATAAAATTAATAAATTATATTTTAATTTATTAGGAAAAAATTATATGATTAATCAAATACTTTATATTAATATTTAAAAAAGATATTAAAAATAAAAACAAGAAAATCAAATCCAAACTATTATTACTTATATGTAAATAAATAAATAATTAATTGAAATTGGATTGATTAATTTATTATACTCATCTTAAGATAAAAAGAAAGAAATGTTAGGGATAATGCAAAAAATAATTAAATAGTACAAAATAAATCTATTTAACTACTATATAATATGCTATAATTAGATATGTATTTAAATAATTGACTTATTTATTCTTATATTATTTATATTAATATTTTTAATAAATAATAATAATAGTAAAATATGAATAATTAAAAGTATAATATCATTATTAATTAAATCTTTAAAAGTTGTATAGGTTATATCAAAATTACTAAAAAATATATAAATATAAAAGAATAAAAAAATAAAACAATAAATAATAATCAAATCCAATTATATATAAATTAAATATTTATAAAATAGATGTTAATAGATTTATCAAGTATCAAATACAATTTGTTAAATACTATCATAAATATAAATTTTTTAAAATAACAATAATAATTTGTGAATATAATAATAAATTAAATTTTTATGAATTGTGATTTTTTAATTTTGGCAAATATTTAAATCAAATTGTTATAAATACAAAAAAATTGATAATTGTTATCATGTCAGATTTTAATAAAATTTTTTTGATATTATAATTTTTCTTGTTGAATATTTTTTTAATTATAACCATTTATTATTATTATTATTTTAATTACCAAATGCTTTTGTTTAATTGTTAAATGCTATGTTTTTATTACTTAATTGTTATGTATTTTTTGAATGTCATTCAGCACAAATTTTTATTAATAAATTTTTATTTAATTAATTAGCTGGAATTTAACAGCCAAATAATTTTTTCATTATTCGGGAATTAAAGATATTGTCACACAAGATATAAATATTTTCGGTTTAATTTAATTCTTTCCATAAATATCTATCTATGATAATATAATATATCAAAGGATACCATAAGAAAGGTATTTCATTCAGAAGCATATTTGAACGGTGGAGAACAGAGATCTTGCGTGATGACCCGCAGAAAATTTAAACATTGGAAAGCAGATCATTGAGCGAGCTCAGCTAGTCAACAAGTAAGTTTCCAAGAATTCAGATTGTCTATACATCGCACTTTCTTCTGTTACCATCCGCATTATTTTGGTTACTTTGTTTAATCTCGAAAGGTTAGGTAGCATGTTGCCAAGCAGATCCAATTTCGTGGGAGGGTAGGAGGGCCCATGCGAAAGAGCCAGATAGGAAATCGGCCAGCGAAGAAAACAGGCACCGATGATTTCATCATCACGTCATAACTATCAAAATTCATGATAATAACCCTTGCATGACTTCCGTTATGCATCAGATCTAGATTACAGTACAGTAACATTAAGTTATCAAATAATAATGATAAATAAATAGATGCTGTATAAAGTATAATGAAAGATTTTTTTAATTGATAAAATTTATTAATCACCTTTTGATAAAAATCCGTTTACAGAATGAAGATTGAACTATAAAGATTTAATTAATGCACGTTAAACATATCAATTGCTGTATGATATCTTCTAGATTAATTGTCCAAGATTGGTTAAATTCTTTTTATCTATATTACTTATCATTAAAAAATTTCAAACTTGTTTATAAACCTAAGATCTCTCGATAAGATTTTTAGTACAGTAATTCTTACCGAAGATCACCGGCACAAACTGATTTTCTATTGGAGTTCAAAGTAAAAAGGCTCTACATATATGTGATTATGCAAACCATTTAATTTGATTGGTTGATGATAAAGTCAGGAAGAGGTTTGACGGGTGAGTCTCGCTCGGTAAATCTCTACGGTATATGCCCTTCGCTTACTCGGACATTTGCATGAACCTTTGTTTTATTAGTTTAAGACGATCTACATAGATGAGGTGATACGGTACTATACGTACATAATTACTATCAAAATTGTAAGACATTAACCCAATATCAAAACAGTATATATAAATACTCAATTCTGTAAGCTAATTATTATATACAGTATGATCTGAATCAATATGGGCAATGCTTTTCATAAAACAGAGAAAAAAAAAGAAAAGGTTTCGACACCATTAAAAACTTCCAATAGTTTCAGATATTTCGAAGGGAGAAGATATCATAATGTTGAGGGTTCAAAATATCCACTTCCAAACGATGACGAGGAATTGGATAGATTGCATTTGCAACATTTCGTGATCCGACACGTTTTTCAGAATAATTTCTCAGCACCGGTTGAACATATTCTAAACAGCGAGGGATCAAAAGTACTTGACATTGGGTAGGATGTCACCATGAGAATCCTAGTGTTGTGTTTTTTTTCTTTCTTATCTTCGAAAATCCTCACATCCATGGGGATGATCTTAATTAGTTGTGGCGCAGGTTCCTGGATGTTGGAAATGGCTACAGATTATCCAAAGACAAAGATCACAGGAATTGACATCTCTCCTGTTCAACCGTCTGGTATCAAACCCAAGAATGTCGACTTTAATATTGCAAATGTCTTAAACGGATTACCATTCGAAGACAATACCTTTGATTATGTGTACCAGCGTTTAATGTTTGTTGCAATTCCCCGAGATAAGTGGCCGTATATTGTCGAAGAAATAGCCAGAGTTTTAAAGCCCGGTGGTTACTTGGAGGTACCAATTGTACGTGTGATTTTTGCGGAAATCATTTAATTTTATTAATCATGGTCATCTGATTTTTAAGTTATCTGAAATGGGACCACCTTTTGACATGGGCCCTGTTTCCGAGAAACTTTTTACTGCCGGTAAGCAACATGCTGTATTGAAAAAATTAAGCAATAAAGATAGAACACAGCAATAATCATAGCATGTACAACTAGGTAATGAACTTCTTGAACGGAGGAGTCTGGATTATAAGGTACTATATAAGTTAGAATCTTTTATCGAGCAAGACGGTCGATTTGAGAACATCCACGAAGAAGAAAATGCCGTCCGCTATGGCCCTGAAACCGGAAAACTAGGTCTAGCGGTAACGTGATTTTAATTTTCGACAAAAAATTTGTTACTGTATTCTGACATCGTGATCATAATTGCAGGCCATCGATAGTATCACGACCGGATTTAGCCACGTGAAGACCTTTATGATGCCAATTTTAGAAGTGACCTCTGAGGAATATGATAAAATGTTAAATACAATGACTAAGGAATTAAGGGACTTCAACACTTATCAACCTATAATTCGAGCTTATGCGTGTAAGAAAAAAAGAACAGATGATTCGAATTTAACTTAAAAGGAAAAGTGACGAACACAATACCAATAATTAATTTTTTGTTTACCGGATATGTATTAAAATGGGTAATGCACAGTTTTTCCGATGATGCAGGTCCCCAGGCGTAAATTAGTGTTATATTTTTTTGTTAAGCAATGTAGTACAAAACCAGTATGAACCTGATTAAAGGATAATGGACGACATTACTGTATATTGTACCGTATTATTGTGTCATCGCAATGACCGACCACAAAAGGAGTATTTTGTTGAAAAAAGAGCGTCCGGTCAAAATTACGTATCGGAAAGTTTTTAGTATCAAAAATAACAACGCAATTGTTTTATATAAAATTGATGCATTTTCATAAAAAAATTTGATGATTAATATACGTATTAAATTTTAGGTATACATGCAATATAGATATGGTATATATTTTTACTTTTGTATTTCTTGTTCTTTTTGTATTTTTTATATTTATGGGTTTGTTGTCGTTTCTTTTCATATAGTACATGATTTATTATATTAGCATTGAACAAAAAAATGGCAGAAAATGATAGGTGAGAACATGATAAATATTTATCTTGCAACATATAAGAATTGTTTTAAAAAAAATTTTTTTTCAATTATCAAACTCAATTAATTATCTTATCTATTAATTATTTCCATATGTTTTTCATAGGACAAATTTGTTTGTAAAATATGTGACACAAAATAAGTGAAAGATATTTTTATTAAAATATAATTTTAAAATATGTTCTAAATCTCAATTCACTTTATCAATGATCCGATGTAAACGCTTAGTGCTATCATGGCAATCCTTAAACGCGAACCATAACAAAACAATATACTGTATAGGGCATGATAACAAACTAAACTTTATGGGATGAATTAATTTATTCTGGTGTTTCGATTACGTTACAGACCCCGCAGAACAGTTAGCACAATGAAAAAATACTGCGCATTGAAATTTCTTATCTGTAACAATGAATTTCGAGATGGATGATTAAGCAGATCAAATATCAAAAAAGCAAATTATTGTAGGCCGAATAGGTTGATTTAATAAATCAAAAAATTTCATCTTGCAATACTGTATACAATTTTAACCTTTTATTAATGATTAAAGTCATGACTTAATATTTTGTAACAAAGGTGCAAGTGTGCCATTTCGGAACATCGGTGGTTCCCGTGAAACATGCCCTGGATAAAATTTTTTTTCGTGTTACTGTGTTTGGATTGATTTCCGACACATGGAAATTCGAATATCAAAATTGAAATGCAAACAAAAAATTATTCTGTCAAGGTAACTATACCCATAAATAAATCATTTGTCTTATTGGTTCAATTTTAAAAAAAAAAATTTCTTTTGTTTACGGAGTGGGGAAACCCGTTTTTTAATTTTACCTATTTCGAATACATGATATTGTAGGTTATACATATGTTCATATGTTCAACATGTATCACTTGAATAAGGTTCTTGAAATTTCGCTTGTTCAAAATTTGCACGAATTAATTTAAAGCCATTACAGCATCAGGGAAACGTCCTTAAAGCCTGAAATAGTAATTCGCTTTTGCGGTGTATGGCAACTGGGGATTTTATTCAAATCAGGATTTTAGCATCTTAACGGACATTTTTTCGTCAGGTTAGCGTAAAACCATATCAGACTCGGGCGCGCTGTATAATGAGGTCGATTATATGTTTCAAATGACACGAGAGATATTTCTCGTGCGTCTTTTGTGATCCCAGTATTTGTTATTTACATTATTTATCGGTAAAATTTAAGTCACTTCGATTGTTTACATACAATATGTCCATTAAAATTTTCTATTAAATTATATTTATCTGTGATGTTTTCTTATCACGAAATTTGACGATTATTATATAATTCATATCACATTACTTGTTTTTATTTATTTTATTTTACTTTTTTTAACAAATTATTTTATTTTATTTGTTTTTTCATATCATTTCGATCAATTCGCTTTATCAACATCCATTTATTTACTTGATTATTTATTTATTTATTTATTCACTTACTTATTCATCTATTCATTTATTTATGATATTTATTCTTTGATGTCATTCTTTGTATTTTTTTCAAGAAATTCACCGGTAATATTAAAATTTACCATTTTTTTTTGCCTTACAAAATATTCAAATATACTGTCTATCATAATTCAAACATAAGAAATTGAAATGAATACGTACATGGATTGCAAGTGACGGTGATGAATTCAAAGACTCCCGTTAATTCTTGATCACAAGCTTCGCACGGAATGACTTATTATAGTATACACTTCATTATTCCAAGTATATACCAGTATGTCATCTCGATTTTAAATGCTCTTGTGCGAATAAAATAATACTAGAAATTCGGTTTGTCAATGATAAATAAATTCAAAAAAATTGTGCGTGCGTGTGTGTTATAATTATAATATTAAGATCGACGCACGGTGTTATATAAAATTGTAAATCGCAAAACATAAATGTGGTTTATAATTAGCCAATTTGGACATTCATTATTACTGTATTACATCAGCAAACAAACAGGAAATTTCATCGCGACTTCTGTCTGTATATGCTACAGTATAAAGTAAAAAAAGAAATGTCATAAGCAGATGCGCATTTAATAAGACTCTAAGAAGGAATAATATAGAATTTGATGTTTGTAAATCGCCAACATTTATTAATAGGGGATGCATAACTAAACATTTGTGAGACAAAAACACACACATACGGTATATATAAATACATCTAGATACTGGTCGAAGCCGAAGGTTAAATAATTGATACTTGGAATTAGGAATAAATTTATTATGGGTAATGCTCTTCGCAAAAAAAAGTCGAGAGATGAGGTGTTGGCACCAACACCGACGTCAACAAGTACTACGGAATCTAACTTTCTATATATCAACGGAAGGAGATATAATAACTTCGAAGGTGCAAGATACATTCTTCCAAATGATGATGAGGAATTGGACAGATTACATTTACAACATTTTTTAATTAGGCACATTTTTCAGAATAATTTTTCTGCTCCAGTCAAACACGTTTTAGAAACCGACGGATCGAAAATACTTGATGTCGGGTAAGATAGCAACACAATGATAGCATTTATAACGAATGTTATCTCTCATGAAAGTTTCCAAGATTAGCAAAATATGACAACTGTCTTCTTCAACAAAGCTGTGGCGTAGGTTCCTGGATGTTTGATATGGCGACAGACTATCCGATGACAAAAATAATAGGAATAGATATATCTCCCATTCAACCTTCTAGTATTAAACCCAAGAACTGTTCTTTTGTCTATGCGAATGTTTCGACTGGCTTGCCATTTGAAGATAATACCTTTGACTTTGTGTTTCAACGTTTAATGTCTGCCGCGATTCCCCGAGATGATTGGCCCGAATTGATCAGTGAGCTAACAAGAGTTCTAAAACCTGGAGGCTACTTGGAGGTACCAATTACTTTATGAATATGACTAGAAATGCAATTTTATTATAATTAATTAAGTGCCGATTTACTTGAAGTTATCAGAAGTATGTCCACCTCGTAACTTCGGTCCAATCGCTGCCGAACTTTATAGAGCCGGTAAGTTAGGCCTTTCCGGACATTGACAGACAATATCATGTACCATAAATTTTGATTATTGTCATGTACTGTATACATTGCATATTTAGCTTTTGAATACATCGAAGAAAAGGATCTGGATTTAAGATTGGCGTATAGCTTACGATCATTAGTTGAAGAAAATGGTCGATTTGAGAATATCAACGAAGAAAAAAGAATAATTCCCGTTAACAACCAACACGGGAGACTAGGTCAAGCGGTAATTAAATTTTTGTCTTAAGAATTATCTGGATTATCTGACAATAACGATGTTACTTATCAAAAATTACAGGCCATAGATAACAATTACTTTGGATTCCTTGTGTTAAAAAATTTTATGTTGCCATACTTAGACGTCGAATCTGAAGAATTTGACGAAATGTTGAGTACAGCAATCAATGAATTCAATGAATTTGGCGCTTATCAAGAAATAATTCGCGTTTACGCATGCAAAAGGGGAAGTGTAGAAAATAGTTGATCCACTCATCATATAACATTCGCGTATATAGACGACAATCAAATCCTATTTTTTAGAGTCATATTAATCATCATTTATTTCTGTACAGTATTTAAGCCTCAATTAACCTAAGCCACACTAATAATTTAAGTCGCACCGATTTTATAAACATCATTAATTCAACGCCGTATTGTATATACAATACGTGTATAAAAATTACTAAAAGATAAAACAAAGAATTAAAAACATAGTCTCTTTAAATGCGAGAAAATTTTCAATAAAAATAAACATTTGAAATTTAATATACGGCACTTTAAATATGTTGCATATTAAAAAATTTTAAATACACCAATTTTTTTAATTCTGTTTTTATTTAAAATATCATTAAAATTAATCAAATTACTTAATCGATTGTATATTTTTTTAAAAAGAAGTATTTACTTTAATAAAAATTGGATTTGAAAAATATTCATATTTATATTTGATTTTCTCTTCAGATTTAAAATATTCTATATCTGATTTTAATTGATGGTTATTTTCATAATATAAATATCCTTGTGCTATTGATTTATATTACGTTTTTCACTCGTAATTTTTTGTATTTTCAAGTTTCTCAAATATACACTATTTATTAATTAATTAATTATCTTATTATTATATTTCATTGTTTTTGTCAAAATATTTATTTTTATTTCTGATATACTGCATATTTAATTATTTTGATAATACTATAAGTTATATATATATAGTATATCAACTTTTTATTATAATATATATAAAAAACTTATATCTTTTAATTTACATAAATTAAATATGAGTTATCAAATAACCATTGTTATAAAATAAAAATACTGTCGATACAAAAATGTAATATACTGTTGTATTACACAATTAATAGGATTATAAAATCAATTTAAAATCTAAAATTTTAAAATAAAATAATAATAATAAATATAACATTTAAAGAATATAAAAATATATAAATATACTGTATATGTCATTTAATAATGTTTATATTTTAGAATACTTGTTTAAAAAATTATTCTGTCTTCAATTAAAATATATAATTTATTTTTAAAACAAGTATCATTAAATCTGTATAAGTTTTATTAGAAATTTATTAAAATATTTTTTTTAAAAAATATTATTGTTGGAATTTTCATTAAAAAAATTGTTTAAAATATTAATATCATTTTTAAGAATAGATATATTTAAAATTTTATTACATTTATTATTACATTTTATTATTAATATATTGTTAATAGAAAAAAAATATAGAATATAACCTTAAAATATAATAATTTTATACATAATAATTATAAATTAAACTTGATTTTATAATAAATTTTATATATAGTTAAATTTTTATTAAATTTGAACAAATATTTATTATTATGTTTCAAAGATTTTTTTATAATAAAATTTTTTAATTTTTTGTTAAAATTTTAACACCTATACTATTTTTACAACTATAGTTTTAACAAGTAATTTGGTATCAATAAATCTTATTTAATATATATTAAAATATTTAAGTTTTATAAATTTTTATTTGATAAAATATAAATAATCTATATTTTCTGAAAAATTATAAAATTTAATATTAAATATTTATTTATTTTTTTTGGTGGGGTTTTCCCCGTAGGTAAACATCATTTCTTTATTTGATATTTGTATATAATATAGTATACATCGTGAAAGAAACAACATCTCTTTCA